ACTTGGTAGTCGAAGACCTTGTCCTCACTCTGTAATAAATGACTAAAAAATGATGAACACAGGGATATGCTGCTAGTGCGACTCAAATGACATGCATGGGAAACATAACTTAAAATGGGCAAATAGGCAAACAAACAAACCGAAAAAATGATAGAATAGGCCATATAGATAGAAATAGGCAAATTGGTAAATTGGCAAATAGGTAAAAATCGACAAATACGCAAATTGGCAAAATCGATAAAGAGGCAAATAGGCAATTAGGCAAAAATCGACAAATAGGCAATCATAAGCGGAAATAGGCAAATTTAGGCAAAATAAGCAATCATAGGCAAACTTAGGCAATCATGGGCAAAAATAAGCTAAAATCGACTACATAGGCAAAAATGAGCAAAAATCAACAACTTAGGCAAAAACAAACGAAAATCAACAAGCTAGGCAAAAAGAGGCAATTTAGGTAAAAACGAACAAAAATCGGCAACTTGGGCAAAAATAGACGAAAATCAACAACTTTGACAAAAATAGGCTAAAGTCGACAATGAAATCAAAAATCGACGACTTTAGGCAAAATTAGAGTAAAATCGACAACGAAGAACAACGACCACGACTTTGGCTAAAATCGACAACGAAAAACAAAAGCAACAACTTTGGCTAAAATCGACAACGAAAAATGAAAGCCATAGCTTTGGCTAAAATCGACAACGAAAAACAAAAGCCACGAACTTTGGCTAAAAATGGTAACGAAAAACAAAAGCCACGAACTTTGGCTAAAATCAATAACAAAAAATGAAAAGTTACGAGCTTTGGCTAAAATACGCTAAAATTGGCAAACAAAACGAGCACACATAGGTAAAAATTAATGAGAACTCGACAATAGGATCAAAATCGAGAAAACATAAAAATCGACGAAATTAATCGCTTTGGCGTACATAATCAATCATTTTTAACGAAAACGAAATTACATGACAACATTTTAAACTTACTTGGTTCAGCGTGTGTTTTTTATATTAAAAAAAATTACTATACAAGATACGCTTTTGCAATATACATTCGACTAACGACAAATATTCACATGTTCAAATTGATGCCTCATTCGTCATCATCTTGTCAAAATAAGATAAAAAATGCACATCATCGCAATTCAAGCAAGCTACACATGAATAAATAGATCAAAATAATTACATCACATTTATTCAATTAATTACATGAGACATATCAATCATAAAGCAAATTTAATACATGTTAAAATAAATAAATAAAATAAAGCAAAAAGAAAGTGAAAAAAATATTACCGTAAAGAAAAATAAGCTAGGTCGATTCGCTTGACGATCTCAAAGTTAGATCCGACCTTTTCAACCTCGATAGAGATCGATATTTAGTCAACCAAGGAGGAAAGATGGATGGAGAGATGGTTGCTTGGCGAAGGCGCCGACAGAGGCGGACGCCCGTCGGTAAGCGCTAGCGGTGCATTGGCTGGCGAGGCGCAGCGCAGGCCGACAAGGTCGAGCTCCGGCATGCGTGTAAGCCTACTCGTTGTAGGTGAGGCATATGAGGAGACTTAGGTTGCTAGCGTCACCGTAGGGAGCCGCTGCCGGCATGAGGGGCCGCTCGCGTGCTTCGTGGGAGCTGCTCGGCGTCTGCCTGGCGTGGGCCGAGGAAGGCGCTAAGGGTAGGTCGCTGTGTGGAAGAAGGCGTTGAGGCAATAGGCTGCTGGCGTGGTGGAGGAGAAGGGCCGTGGCGTGTGAGGAAGGTGGCTCCTGCTCGGTGAGGAGGGGTCGGCGGCTAGGTCTTTTTAGGATGATGAACGATGAGTCGGTCCTTTTTGGGAGGAAAGAGGTGTTTTTATACTAGGTTTTTTTTTAGGGTTTTTTTGGCTAAAGGTCTTTTTGGTCCCTCACTTTACAAACTCCCTTTATTTTGGTTCCTTTCTCTTTTCTTTTTCAATTGTGTCCCCCTAATTGTATCTTTTTTCTTTCCTTTATTTTTTCTTTTCCTCTTTTCCTTTTTTCTCTTTTTTTTTTTTTTTGACCTAAAATTGGGTGTTAACAAAGATCATGAGGTTAAGGTTAGTGTAGCATTCGACCCAAAATGGGATAAACTAGGGTTTAGATTTTTAATGGGGTTTTTAATACTTCAATTAACCATTTTGAACTTAAGATAATGTAATGAAAGGAATTAGAATGAGAAATTTCATTGAAACCTAAAAATTAGCTTGTATTAGTAAATTTAAGGTTTAGGCCCAATAAGGCCAAATTTGAAAATTATGCATAAAATTGAACAATTGACACTTAATTAATTTAGTTCTTGATAAAAAGCGTTTATGACACGAAAACAATTTTATACGAGCATGTAAATGATTTGTACGTGTAGTTTCATTACATGCATTAGTTAACTTACTGAGTTGTCGCTCACCTATTTGTTTGTTATGTAGCTACTATAGGTAAAGATGATAATGTTTACGTTCGAATTGACTACCGAGGGTACCGTCTAACGCATGTATGTTAGTTGTGATTGGAAAATGAATCTAGTTCATACCCCGACAATCCTAGTACTTCATATCCTAGTTTACTTTTTATTTATGTCTATGTTTTTCCGTATGATAGTTAAAATAATGAAAATGTAGATGGTTGATTGGAAGAAAATAAATGTAAATAGATGATAAACTATTTTTGTAGTATTTGGCAAGTGAACTGGTTTTGTATGTTAACGGTAAATTGTATGTAAACAAATACCAATAGTAAAATAATAGTATAATCGTAGTAATTTTCTTTAAGTTAATTATTTCCATTTTAGCATAACCAAGTATAATAAAACCATAAAATTAGATAAACAAAAATTAAAATAAATGGTGATTAATGAAAAGAAATAATTAACTAATTATCGAGTATTGAATCACAACTAAATGAATTTATATAAGTTAATATAAAAAAAATTGAGAAAATCGAGAGTCATATATCCGATTATTTTAGTTCAAGGAATTTAAGCAAAATAATAAAACGCAAAAAATTACTAGTGCATGTTGAACTAAAAAATAGGACCTAATCGTCGTTATTAGACTTACGCAAGTATAATTTATACATAGACATATTATGAATAAGTCACAATGCCTTGTTACCTTATATTCATTGCACTTCGAATGTAGGTTAACATTAGTATTACTCTCAACCTCTTAGGTTCTAGGTTGGGAGGATGACACAAACTTTATTAAAATGGAGAATAGGTGAGAGAAAAGGACGAGAAGAGAAATGATGATCAATGAGAAGGAAGAGAAAAAATGGTCGAGAGTAAAGGGTTGAATGACAAACAATCGAATAAGATTATGGGCTCGATGTAAAATAATTGATTAGTGATAAGAGAAGAGAGAAAATTAGGGCTAGATTAGGGCAAATTTTGGTTTGCTTTAGAGGTTTTGGGGTATTATAGGGGTTTTTTTTTTTTTTAAAAAAAAAACCATTTACTTGATTTTTTTTTTTAAATAAAAATAAATGACATGTGTAAACATTTTGTGTGACAAATGACGAGATTTAACATTGTTACTCAACAAAATTTGATAGAGAGATGAAGTTAAGACTCGGACTAAAAGTTAAGGGATAAAGTTAAGAACAAAAATTAATAGAAAAACATGATTAAAACAAAAAATAAGTATAGGAGGATCCTTGCAACCATTAACTCTATATTTAAATGAAGTGTCAGGGATTCTTTAAAGGAGGAGAATGGAGGAAATTTAAACTTAATAATAAATTAGTATCTTTAATTTAGAGAAATGAATTATATAATCCCTTTAATATAAAGAATTATTAGAATTAGTTTTTAATTACTATTGATGATCCTTAATTTAATAAAAAATTTCAAAAATGTCTTATTTCCTCAACAAATTTCTTCATATCATCATCTTCTCTTTTTTTCTTTTTATTTCTGAAAAAATAAAATAACAAAATAAATTAAAAAAATATGAAATTGACAAAATAATTTTTTTTGATTCCACAATAAAGAGTATCATGGAAGCCAACTCATACACTAATCAAAACTAAGTTTTCTAAGCCGATTATAATGATGTACTCTTTATGTTAGTCTAATACATTCAGAGTAATTTAATATAGTTTTTTAAAGGCTAATTTCAAATTTTGAATTTAAAAAGTCAAGAAAGAGAGTATATTCCTTTCACCATGAGACCAATCTTCTGAAGTTAATTGAAAAAATAAATAGCTTATAAACTGATTGAAAAACAAAAGTATTATATGGAGTTTCCGAAACTAAAAAAAGAAAAAAAAATTAAGTAATTAATTTTGTTAAACTATAAGGATTAAATTATAATTAAGTAGGGGAGAGCCTGGAGGCGTAGCCCAGGTAGTTACCATAGTAACTAGCAAGCAAGCACCAAATAGGTTGAAGGCAAGGCAGGTAGGTTACCGTAGCCAATGATCGAACCCGCACTCAAACCTCTACTCTCTCGCTGAAGCACCACCAAAGTCCAAAACCTCTTCTTCTCCACCATCTCCACTCCACCCCCTCTTCGTTCTTTCTTGAAACAGAAAGACCCAACTTTGATTTTATTGGTGTCGAAGATAAGAAAGAGTGTGGCCTTTTTGGATTTTTTTTTTTTTAATTTTTTTGAAGAGATTGAGGATTTTTGCTAGCAAATGTTTGCTGCAAGGAACCTTCGAAGGAATTGCATTAAGACACTCCCGTCTCTCCTACAATCCAATCCCAAAAGGTACTCATCAAAAACATTCAAACTGTACTTCTTTAATGTTTTCCCTTCATTATCTTGGTAAATCCCTTGTATTTTTTTTTCTTTTTTGCAGGGTTTTTGTCTATGTTATAATACAATCTTATTGAATTATTTTCGGGTCTTATATTTTAGGAATGTTGTGTTATTGAAGGATGTTGCTCCAAAACTTGCTTGTGCGAATGACATTCAACAAAGCTTTAGTTGCTTTTTGCCGTTGAATTGTCCCTACAATGGATGGTGCCGTTCAATGTCTACTTCGAAAGGGAGGACCATGAGGAGCAAGATCGAAAGGCGAATGCGTAAAGAGTCTGGTAAAACACTCAAGGAGATTCGGAGAGCAAAGAAATTGAAGAAAAAATTGATGACTGATGAGGAGAGGCTCATTTACAACCTCAAAAGAGTATGTATCTTTTATGTCTGCTACTTGATTTGTCATTTCTTAATTCATCAATGATGGGTTCGTTTTCAATTTACATAGGTGTTAATGGGATGCGCTTTTGCTAGTGATCGTAATGATGAGTAGGTGTATGACATAACAATCTAACTTGTACAAAGAATGGGATTTGTGGGTGTATGGTTTAAAATATGTCATGCTTGTGAAGTTTATGATGAGCAACCCAGAAGTGCTATTCTTCCCAACTCATGGAATTGAATAATGCCGGCACCCTCTTCCTCCCGTGGTTATGCAACTTTTAGTGTAAAAAATTGTTTAGCCAGCATTTGTCTAAATTTGGAATCCTCTTCTAAAGCAATAACTGTTATTGCTGAATAAATAGTAGCAGTACTGAATTTGGGTATTTATCTAGTTTTGGGTGCGAAAAAAGAACAGACTGCTAACGTATGTCATGGTTGGAGCCTAAGGTGGCCTAGGAATCCCAAGATCACTACTTCTCATTTCTTTTTAACTACCTGTATGAAATAATCTTAGATTAAAATGTGCATTTCTCCACGATACTACTTGTATGATATCATGACACATGAACATTAAAATGCTTTTAAGACCTTTGAAAGAATTTAAATAAGATTAGACTAATTTGTACTGAATTAAGTTTCTGTGAACAATGGAGCTTAGTTACAAACCTATTCTTTATATTGAGATTTGGGAAGAGATTGGTTATGAAACGCCGTCTCCCTATCTCCCCTCCATCAACTCAGAAAAAGGTTGTTGAATATTTTTATAGCTCGTCATCTGACAATGATAATCAACTTCCCAGTGCTAGTTATTTGTGCTGTTGTAAGTTTCATTTTCATTTTCTTTCAGCTCACAACAGAGCCTCATTTTGTATTATGTGATTAATTATTGTTTTCAATCCAACTATTCCAGGCTAAGAAGAAAGTTGCATTGCTTCTACAAAAGCTCAAGAAATATGAGCTACCTGAGTTGCCACCCCCATTGCATGATCCTGAGCTCCTGACATCTGAGCAGCTTCAAGCATATAAGAAGATTGGTTTCAAAAATAAAAATTATGTTCCTGTTGGTGTTCGTGGAGTCTTTGGAGGAGTTGTCCAAAATATGCATATGCACTGGAAGTTTCATGAGACTGTGCAAGTATCTTGTGACAACTTTCCCAAAGAAAAAATCAAGGAAATGGCTACCATGCTAGCAAGATTAAGTGGGGGTATTGTGATAAATCTTCATAATGTGAAGACAATTATCATGTTCAGAGGCAGAAACTATCGCCAACCAAAAGATTTGATCCCTTTGAACACTCTTACAAAAAGGAAGGTGGGTAAAAGTATTTCTTGCGGTATTAATTAGTCTTTATTCAAGATAACAAGATAGCACTTCATTTCATGCTAGCCAACAGCTGAATTATGTTTTTTTTTAAAAAAAAAAAAAAAAAAAAAAAAAACCCAGGAAGGCTGATCTTAACTGATGATTGGACACATTTGAGCCAGATAGACTGAGGATTGGATTGAGTGCCTAGTAGCTAGATAGACTGAGGACAGGAGTCAGTGGCAAATTGCCCTTGTGTAACAACTATTGTGCCATCATTTGCTATCCAGAGAGCTATACCTTAGATGGAATTTTTTTTTTCCTTTTTTCTTTTTATGATAAATAGTGTAGATGGAGACTTGTCTCAACAAAAGAGACATTCTTCTTAAGATGCAAAGCTATTACTGCTTGTGGGTTATGTAACATGCTCATCATTTGTACAGGCACTGTTTAAGGCCAGGTTTGAGCAAGCTCTTGAATCTCAGAAGCTAAACATCAAGAAAATTGAACAGCAGCTCCGGCGAATGGGTGTAAACCCTGAGGATCCAGTTGCCATGGCCAGCATCCAGAGAGTAGCTTCCACATTCTTCAATGCTATTGACAAGAAGGAAGGAAGCCCGTATGTCTTTCGTGGTGACAAAGAGTCAATGGTGGAGTCTGGTGATCATTTAGAACATTCAGAACCTCCTGCTGATAGTGATCAAGAGGAACTGGATAGGTTTATTGCTGAGATAGAGGATGCAGCAGATCAAGAGTGGGCTGCAGAAGAAGCTGCAGAAGAAGAAGAATTTGGTAAGATTAGGTACTGGAATAGGGAAGATTATAGTGGGAGGTTTAGGAGACCAGAAATACATAGAAGTGAAGCTTACAATGGTGAGGTAAGGGGAGCCAGGCATTGGAGAGATGCACATGGCAAACAGATGAGTTCTAATCGAGATGATGATAGTGATGCTTCTGAGGATGATAATGAGTGGAAAGTTAGAGATAATAATAATCTTGAGAGTGATTCTTATGCAGATCGCAGTAGATCTAGAGGGCAGTGGAACAAGCAAGATGGGACTGGAAGGGAATACAACGCTCAGCGTTTCACAAGAAATGCTGAAGCTAAATTTAAAGTAAAGATGGCTGAAGAAGATTCCGAATCAAAAGAGATGTTAAGTGATCTTGACAATGCAATGTGGCAATCAGATGCCGAAGAAGAACATGTCTCAAGAACTTCAAGAGCGGAAGCAAGTCCCATGTTTGAAAGCAGTAGTGATGAAGAGGAGGATACCTATCCCTTGAAGAGAAATGAGATGACTAGGGTAAATGATCTTCTGAGTGATGCATATGACAGTGATGAAGGGCCTGACAAGTTTAAAATATCAAGTGTGAAGCAGAAGAATGAAGTTGGTTCTTTCAAGAGAAATGCTGCAGCAAATTCCAGGAGAAAGATGTTCCAGGAAGATTCTGGGTCAGGTGATATGTATAGTGATTCAAAACATGCAACGTGGGAATTGGACGATGAGGTAGACGTAAGAGCATGCAGTGAAAAGGGTTATAATTACGGGGACAGTAGTGAAAACGAAGATCACCACTTGAAGCAACAGGAGAAGCATGAAGCGAGTGGTGAGAAGGCGATGTCACGAAAAGAGGTGGATGAGACTTGGGACAGTGATTAGTTCAGTGTCTTGAAGCAGTGTTCTTTTTTCATAGTTTACTGACAGGGTAACTAACAGAAACTAATCTTCTACCATTGCAAGCATGGTCTACGAGACCTGAAAAGCGGCTGATAGTTGAGACGTTTGGGGGGATACACATTATTCATTCGATGGAATTGTATCCTTGCTCCTTTCCGGGAAGCAATCGGTGGTAAAAATTGCTCCTGTGCTATTGTAATTTAATAATTTCAAACATTTATTATCAATTTACATAATTTGAATCTTAAAATATCAGTTTTTGTGAGAAATTTTATTCAAATTTTAACTTTTTTCGTTGTTTGTAATGTTCAATTCAGTTTATCATAATTTTTTTTTTTTTTGCTATTATTATTATTATTTGCTGTTATTAAAAAAAAAAATAAAACTAATGTTTTCCTTCATTTTTCAAGTAAGATTTCTTTTCCACCAATTTATTTATAAATAAGTAAAAAATTCATAAATTTATCATTAAACTTTCCTCCTTTTTTTTTCCCCCTCTTTGAAAAAGAGCTTTCACTTTTTTAACCTATCTTTAAAAAACTAAAAATAAAATAAATTTTAAAAAAATGATTTTCTAAATCTAATAATTTGAAACGTATATTATATATTTGAATTAATTGTGAGAATACAAAATCCTATAAAATGTGTGAAGATAAAAAAATAAATAAATAAATACAATTATGTTTAAAATTTAATGATTGACAATAATGAGAATAAATTTATTTGGCATGACAAAAGAAAATTTTTAGTTAAAATTATTTATTTGATAATTTTAATTAATCAAATTAAACAAATAGGTATTTATATTTTATTAATTATAGAAATTGATTATTTTGATAAAAAAAAAAGTTATATAGAAATAGCAATTTGATTGAATATGAAAAATTAAAGAAATTAATATGTGAAAATTTTAAATAGAAAAAATATTTCTTGAAAAATGAAGAAATTTTTTTTTAGTATTTTAAAAAAATTAACAACGAGAGAAAAAATTAACGATCAATTTGTTTAACCGTTACAAATAATGAAAAAATTAAAATTTGAATAAAATTTGTTCAAAAATCTATATTTTGGAGTTTAAATTATATAAATTAATAATAAAAATTTAAAATTGTTAAATTGTAATAAAATGTTGGCAATTTTTTCCGTAAAACGTAAAGTAATCAGCATGTACCATGCGGCATTCTTTGTGAAAAGATTTTGTTTCTGAATAATCTAAAGAAATAGTGCTAGTGTTTCACCTTACCATTGATAATGTTTTTAACGGTATAGTGAGAAGGGGTGTGAGGTTTGAATTTCAGCCTCAACTCTTATGTGTCGTCTAAAAGTTTGTGTTTTTTTTTTTTTCCCTTAAAAAAATTAATGTTAGGATAATAATTTTGCCATTTTGCAAAAGAGCAACAAGTAGATAATAGAAAATATCGTGTTTGGTTTAGGGGGATAGAGATAGAATCCATTTTTATCTCTTTTCTAGAATGAAAATTAGTGAAATTTTTGTACTTTTATTTTCGGAGAACGTGAGAGACGAAGGAGACAAGAAATATTATGCAATTTTGTTTCAAAAACCATCTATATAATTTTTTTATGCCTAAATAGATCTAATCATTTTTGGATTTTAAGTTATTTGAAATCGAATGCGTAGACTTTTCTTTTGGTTTTTGAAAATCTATGAATTTTTAATTTTTTTCAGATTTAACCCATTTAATAATTTTTAACTATCATCTTTTTTTCTAAAAAAAATCAATTCTTAGTATTTTCTACTAAAATTTTACACACACGTTGGGGAAAAAAAGTTCAGTCTGTTTTGTAGAAAAATTTTAGAATTTTTTAAAATAAAAAACTATATTTATTTATTTATTAATATTAAAAATATAAAAAATTGAGAAAAATAGAAAATAACATCGAAATGATTCCAAATTTTTTTTAAGAGCTCCACATAAATTTCACTGAATGATTTTTATCATGAAACTATTGGTGTGATTGTTATTTTTTTAGATAAATGGTAGAAAACTAAAAGATTAACTGAATCTAAAAAATCAAAAATCAAGGATCCTAAAATCAATAAAAAGTTTAGAAATTCAACCTCAAATGATTTAAAATTTAGGAATGGTTAGACTTGTTTAATCATTTTTTATAATTCAATGTGAAGCACGATAAAGTAGATAAGAAATCTTATGAAATTATATTTCAAAAACCATCCTTGTAAAGTTTTTATAATTCAAAGTCAATGCCATTGATTTTGCCCGAGCCATACTTAACCGTTGGATTTGTTTAAAAATACATATAAAATATAAAACTAAAAATCATAAAAACTAAGGAAAAGACAGAGAGAATTTTAAGCACATAATCGACCCATTGTTGCCGGTCAATATTACCATCAAAGAAAAGCTCTCACCACCACAAATCTTTAAACACTAAAATTGCACATTTTATTACCGAAATTGAAAGATATGTGAATTTAAATTTTTAGATTTAAAAATTTTCGAACCAAATTTTGTGTTGATTTGTTGTTAAACAATGATTTTTAGTGGTAGATTGAGAAATTTTATGATATTCAAAATAATAATAATAATAATAATAATAATAATACTTATTCTATAAAGAAGAGATAGATATAAATATGAGAGAGAAATATGAGATAGAAAATTTTTTTTAAAAAAAATTGAGTCTATGTAAAATATTTTTGCCCATGCATGCGCACACGCACCCAATATATATGCATTAGGTGTTAGTTTAATAGATAAGGTAAAAACTTAACAATAGGAGATTAAATGATTAATTTTTGAAACAAGTAGAATGAATTAATTTATTTTTCAAAATGAGAGGGATTAATTTATAATTTTCTCATACAATAAGTTATCATTGGTCTTCAATTAAAAAAAAAAAAACATGAACATATAGGAGTTGCAACTACATACCTTTTTGAGAGCTTGTGATTTACTAGAAATCAGAACTCAAGCAATTTTTCAAGGAAATGAATTAAATATAATGTATGGTTAAAATATAGTCATAATTGTCATTATCCAACACATAGAAATTCCAAACTAAAAGCTAAAAGAAACGGAGTGGCTACTTAATTATTTGGAGGAGACTAAGAATCTCAAAAATTTATCTATTCCAGAGAAATGGGTAAAAAATTAGTTGTGTTTAAGAAAGATAAAAATCACCCCAAAAAAAAAACATCGTTTTCGAAGAAAGATTACCTTACTTGTTTCTATTTTTATATTGATTTTTTGTAAACTATTATTTGTCTAATTATTTTATAAACTTATTTGCGAGTTTATTTTTTAGACCAAGTCAACGTGAATATGAAACTAACTTGAGAATTAATTCATCACATTTGAGAATCTTGGGCCTTTGGAACCCAAAATCGGCAAAATGGAGAAAAATTAAGCTTGAAGGCTTGTTTCCATTTTTTTTTTTTTTTAGGTAAGGTCTAAACTAGGTTTTTTTTTCTTTTAGGGATTTTAGTGTCGCCCGGTCCAATTATGGATTTTTGACGATCTTTCCAATTGAAGAAAACAAATTGATTGTTACAAAAAAGTCATAAAAATTGCAATCTTGATGGATTGACAAATACATAAAAAGAAAACATAAAATTTATAGATCTCATTGAATTATCGTCGAATCGTAAAATTAGGAGCCTCTTCAATATAATGTCACATCCAATTAATTTCTCATATAAATTTATATGTGGAAAATATGCTAAAATGAATATCCAGAACTTGAAATGCAAATGAACTCAAGCATGGTGCAAAAATATCAGAGTTAAGAGTTTTGACGAAAACAAATATAATTTTTTACATTCTAAATTAACTAAAATTAATTGTGAAATTCATTAAATTGTCATTGAATCTTAAAATTAGGAGTTTCATTAATTTAATATCAGATCTAATTAAATTTTCAGTATAAATTTCATATGTACAAAATTATGGCAAGTAATCACATGCAAGGTATATAAATGCAAAATGCATATGACATGATTCTACTGTCAAAAATAAAAATTTACTAATTTATTCAAAATTAATCACATAATCTCATTAAGTCGATGCCTGTCCCTAAAAATCGAAGGTTCATCCACCTAATCTCAGATCTAGATAAAACCTTCATACAAAATCACATTTGCAAATAATACAGGGGCATGATATGTAAATAATTATGAAACAAGGATGAAAATGAATTTAAATTTTTGACAAAAGTAAAGAGGTAATTTCAGTATGCAATATTTCGACACATGTAGGTTATGCATATATAAAGTAATGCATGCAAATGGAAAGGTTAATTGTTTATTCATGATTTTTTTTTTTAAAAAAAAAAACTATCTATCATATAAATACAAAATAAGCATCTAATTGAAGAAATGGTAAATTAAGTTACCAAAAAGCAGCTAAGCAGAGAAAATAGGGACTAAGCTGACTTCAAAGAACAAACTAATAAAAATGCATTATGCTCTTGGAATTATTCTCTATTATGTGAAATGAGAGCACAATTGAAGACCGATTAAATTAAGTTACTAAGACGAGACAAAGCCATAAAAGTTAGGACTAAAAAGAACTTAAGTTTTTTTTTTTTAAAAAAAAAACAACTCATTATACTTCTATGTAACCTTTGTTGTGTAAAATAAAGGCATAATCAAAGACCATCTAAGTTACTAAAACGAAATAAAATAACAAAAGCAGATACTAAATGAACTAAAAATACAAACTGGAAAACAACTCATTTTGCTTTTATTTAACCTTTATTATGTAAAATAAAAGCAAAATTGAAAACCAGTTAAGTTACTAAAATAAAACAAACAAAACCTAGTAATAAAAGCAGGGACTAAAACACAAACAAAAGGCACAAAGGTAGAAAAACATTCTGTTTTTTGTTTTATCGAGTCTGCCTCTCTACCAGCTTAAATTGCATACAATAATGGAAAGAAAGGATTAGGCAAGGAACAAGCCTGTATGACAGATGGTTAAGGTGGGAGAGATATCGGAAAG